TGACAGCATCACAGAGCTGAACACAGAAAAGGGCATTTTGAGTATAGAGGCAGTGAGTGAACAACTGGCCCAACAATGATGCCTCGTTGCTCTTTCAAAAGCTCATCATGGGAAAAACTAGGTTTTCATTTTCCAGAAGTAAAATATGCCATTCAAATTTGTTCCAACAAAAAAATCTAGAAAGGATGGCTTGCAATTTTTAAAGAACCATTGGTTCAGTATTTCCAGTTTCAAGTTTTTTATTTCTGATTTTCAGAAAAAAGTACATATTTAATAAGTCAATTTTGCCCCCAAACATACACTTTCTCAAAAAAAAATTATTTCATCAAAAAACATCCTAAAATTTGAAATAATACTATTAGAATTCATTTTATGTGAAATCAATGACAACTATTTAAAATACAACTATATCTCAATTGACTTAGGTTTTCATGTATGAGACTCTTAAAAAATGGCTAAAATACAATAAATATTTATTTCTTTATGCACATAAAGCCCAAGGGAGTTACTTGTATGGTGGCTCCAACATTATCAGATATTCAAGTCCATCCAGGTCTCTGCTCTGCCTTGTCGAGGTCACATGAATATAACCTGGTCCTATATGGCTGCTAGATGCCAGCCATCACATCCATGTTCTAAGCATCAGTATGAACATAGGGAAGAGGAACAAGTTATACCCCTGCATTCTAAGAAGAGTTCTTACAAGCCACACACAATACTTCACTAGCTACAAAGGAGCCTCTAGAGTTGTAGCTGGGAATTTGTGTGTCCAGCTAAAAATTGGTGCGCTCTTAATTTGAGTGAGTTGGGCAAAATAACTACTGGTAAGGAACTAGCTGTTTCTGCCAGGCTCTGGGAGGGATATTACCTCATCAATCATAAACCTTGATGTGAATAAGTCTGTCAGCTCCTTTCTGAAAGTGAGATTTCATAGGTAAGGGAGACCAAATAGTATGTGAGGGCACTGGGCAGGGGAGAGTAGAAGCTGGGGAACAAGGTGGACCGAGGATATTAAGGACAAGCCTCCTCTATTTTACAATTTTGCTAAAAGTAAGCATTAGCCCCAACTCCATGTTTCTTATTTATTCATTTGTCCATTTAAAGAATTTGGATTCTATACTAAAACAGGGAAGGGCTCATGTATCACATATTTATTTTGTTCCTAAGGACTAAATTTTTTAAAAAAGAGATTTAATCACTTTGGTTGTGTTCTTTTCCCTCTTTTATAGAGGAGCACCTTCTAAAGCCAAGATGGGTTTTGCATTTCCAAGGTTATTGTATTTATCCTTGTGAGTTTGTCTCTCCCTTCTGATGAACCCCAAAGGGCATGGAAAAATGGCATCATATTGATAAAACATGGCCTTCCAAAACAGTCTTTAAATCTCCTATGTGTCAGGCCAATTGGAGTGAACTTTTCTCCATGGACGCCCGGGGTGAAACTAGCTGGCTTTGCAAAGTGGTTCTCTTTATAAACTAGCAACTTTTATTTACAATGTGTCTGGTGACAGGCCAGTTTCTTAAGTAATGTGCGTATATGCATTTAGTACTTCCAGCGTGTTTTTGCTTTTAGAACAAACTTATAGGGCAGAGCAGCTGACCAGGCCGTGCCTTGTCAGAAGCATTGGCAGCCACTTCATAAAGTTTTCAGTTTCCAAGAATTTCACTCGCGTCCAGCTACCTCATCTTTAATAATTTGTTGCCTTTAATCACAATAAAGCAAATTTCAGGAGGACATTGGAGGGAGAAAGAGATGATACAAAAAGAAGAGGTGAAGATTCGGTTGGGAATTTTATGATGCTGATGTGTGCTTCAGAGAAAATATTTGCAGTGCACACACACCTGCAAAAATAAAGATCCATTCCTCATCAAAGTGCTGAGGTGGCTGCAAACTGAATACCATCTGGCCCCTTCAGGCGGCCTTCGCTTTCCCCCTGCACCCGTTATAGCACCCAGTTCCCCCACATCCATCCCCGCCCTGGTCAGTAGGTCATTCCTCTGAAGAATGTTGATGAGATCAGGAAAAGGATGTGCATTGCCCACCTTGCAGGGGAAAGCTTCATCTAGAAAACCACTTACAGCAAAAGAAATGATCCCTGTCCCTTAAGGGAAAAACCTGTCTTCCGTAGCCCCAGTCAGTCTCTCCTGCTTTTTCCATCACAGAGGTTTCTCTTCCTCCATGCCTTATTCCCCTCCTCCCTTTTGCCTCTTCCTTCTCCTAAAGGCTGGTGGGGGCTTCGGTACCTTTCCACGGGGCCTATGAATCATCCATTAAAACAGGGACAGAAATGAAAGAGAAGAAGCTTTGCCGGCAGAATTTTAGGCAGAATGAATAATGGAAAGAGCTGAATACTGGAGCCAAAGGGAGCTGGAATGGATTCCCTGCTCTGTCATTTAGAAACTGACTGTCTTGGGCAAGTTGTTCATCTTATCTGAGTCACAGTTTCTTTGTTTATAAAATTGAAATAATAATACCTGCCTCATAATCATTTGAGAATTAAATTATATATATAAAAATTAGCACAATATTTGATGCATAGTTGGCATTCAATAAATATTAGTTCTGTTATCATAAGGGGAATGAGGAGTTGTTGGGGCAAGTCATGGGGCTTTCGCACTATTCTAATCTGGGAACTGTGAGAGAGAGAGAGAGAACTAATTTGTTGCTGCACTAATTTGTTGCTTCACTTATTTATGCATTCCTTGGTTGACTCTTGTATGTGCCCTGACTGGGGATTGAACCTGCAACCTTGGCTTATCGGGACAATGATTTAACCAACTCAGCTACCCAGCCAGAGCCTTCTTAATTACATTTGGTGTATGAAAATTTCTGGTACCAAGGAAAATGGGAAACTAAAAGAGGAGATCTCGGTGAACAAGAAACAAAAGCATCCCTGACTGGTTTGGCTCAATGGATAGAGTGTCGGCCTGTGGACTCAAGAGTCCCAGGTTCGATTCCGGTCAGGGGCATGTACCTTGGTTGCGGGCACATCCCCAGTGGGGAGTGTGCAGGAGGCGGCTGATTGATGTTTCTCTCTCATCGATGTTTCTAGCTCTCTATCCCTCTCCCTTCCTCTCTGTAAAAAATCAATAAAATATATTTTTTTTAAAAAAGAAGCAAAAGCAACAAAGCAGAGTGGTTTGGGGTATTATTTCACCCATTTGCTGATAAAACAATTTTACCGGATTCTTTGTGTTCTCTAGATTCACGTTCTCCTTTGGATGGTGCTGATCAAGTGATACATTTTGTTTCTCTAAGCTTCACTTTCTGTGCTGATCACTCTGGGGCCAACACATTCTTTTGTCACATGTGTTAATATCACTGTCTTAAGATCTGTCAAAATGAAAAATAGTTCCCTTTTCTGTGCCAGACCTAATTTGATAGTTTTAACTGCAAATATTCAGACCTTTCTTGGCACCAAAATACAGGAACTGGGCACAGATCTCACAGCTCCTTTGGTCCTTTATCGAGCACAAAGCCCAAACAGAATTCTGATATTGATAGCACTGCCATCCTCGCTCTGCCTGAACTCACGTCTGCCATGGTCAGTGTCTGTGATTGGGAACGGATGCTACAAAGCTTCTAATTCAGATCCAAGTCATCCTTCAGGAAGTGAAGATGATCCTAAGACTTCTGGAAAATAATCTTTCTTGGGGCTAGATTGTAAACCCTGGGTAACATTGTCTCATCCCTTTCCCCAAGGTAACAACTCCTAGGCTCTGCCCATAATGAGATCTTATCAGCTCTGTCTTCTGCTTTTTTTTTTTTAAAATATATTTTATTGATTTTTTACAGAGAGGAAGGGAGAGAGATAGAGAGTTAGAAACATCGATGAGAGCGAATCATCGATCAGCTGCCTCCTGCACATCTCCTACTGGGGATGTGCCCGCAACCCAGGTACATGCCCTTGACCAGAATCGAACCTGGGACCTTTCAGTCCGCAGGCCGACGGTCTATCCACTGAGCCAAACCGGTTTCGGCTGTCTTCTGCTTTGCTGGGGGAAAACCATTGGCTGTGTTTTTATAAAAAATATTTGGAAGATAGATGATAGATAGATAGATAGATAGATAGATAGATAGATAGATAGATAGAAAGAAAATAGGGTAGCGAGCATAACGGCTATAAAAGGCCATCACACACAGTCTGAGCTTCTTCACCCCAGGGAAGATCTGTACATATCCCACCAGGAAGAGGACAGGCCTGAGTTGCATTCTTGGTTTGACAGTCATGGCCACAATTTATTAATACTCCATTCCCATAATAAAGAAAAGTGGATACCTGGTAGATTATAAGACATTTACACTCCCTCTGAAAGTTTTCATAATATTTCATAATATTCTCATGATATTCACTGTTGAATTACTTCTTCTGTAGGAGTTTTTAACCTCAGACCCTCAGACACTCAAGAAGTCTGGCACACTACTATATTTCAAATAAAATATATATAGCAAGTAAAAATATCTGATAAATTATTTCCATAAAATTAGTTTTACTTGTCATCGTAAGAATATTATTTTTTGCTTTTAAAATTATTATTCTAAAAAGAGGTCCATAGGCTTCAGGCCCTGTCAAAGGGATCCTGGCACTGAAATGTCCAGACTCCCTCAGGCAGTGGGAGGAGGTCTTCTCAGGTGACCTGTGGTTTCATTATCTGATGTTCACAGTTCTCGGTTCTCTCTCTTACAACCTCAGCACGGTGCCTCTGATGGTTTGTGTCAGGTGTGTCTATGAGGAACAGTAAATATCAATCTTTCTTTGGGCAGAATACTAGTTTCAACACAGTGACAGTGCAATTCACAATGGAAATTTTCTTAAACTTTATTTGAACACTGAAAAATCCTATGTGCTAGTTGCTGTGCTAGTCAGAGAGAGGATACTAATCAAAACAAAAAAATTCTGCTCTTTATGACTTTAATCTAACAGATGTGTGTGTGTGTGTGTGTGTGTGTGTGTATGTGTGTGTGTGTGTGTGTGATAACTCTGGATTTGTTTCTCCCACAGATCTCGGAGGCACGGGGCGTTCAATGGGGACTTTGCCAGGCTGCTGCCCCTCAATGAACCTCTGAGTCCTGGCCTGAAGGGCTAAGGTACTGGCTACAATGTGGAACCCCAGGAGAGCCAACCTGACTACCCTTTGCTCTAAGAAGAAGCCTCAAATGAAACTGGTCTGAAATCAGAGCAAGGACTAGAGAAAGATTTATTTGTTAATGGAAAGAGGAAAGGAGAAAAGGGTTTCCAAAAACTTGCAACAAACTTTCCATCGCTCTAAAGAACCTACCTTCCTTATCAACCACGCTGTTCTGTCTCATGACTCCTCTTCTAGCCTTTTGCCAGAAACAGAGCAAGTCAATCCTGCTGAAAACATAAAGACAAACCCTCAGAAAACTAGGCCTGGAACTGTGATCCTCTCAAAACGGTCCGGTAAGAGAATTATGTCGGAAAGCCAGCCTAGCCCACCCGTGATCCCGTCCCGCAGGCCCGGATTCCGCATATGCTATATCTGTGGCCGAGAATTTGGGTCCCAATCACTCGCCATTCATGAGCCCCAGTGCTTGGAGAAGTGGCGAATTGAAAACAGCAAGTTGCCCAAGCACCAGCGGAGGCCAGAACCCTCCAAACCACAGCCCCTGGGCGGCGGCAGTGGGTCCGACATTCTTCAGGCAATGAACGAGGCAGCGTTCCAGAGTTCTCAGGCCCAGCTGCTGCCCTGCGAGTCCTGTGGCCGCACATTCTTGCCAGACCGTCTTCTTGTTCACCAGAGAAGTTGCAAGCCCAAGGGTGGTGGGCCCAGAGAACCAAACAGCAACAATTCTAATGACCTGCCTGGTCTTAGGAAAACTTCTGGTGGCATCCCAGCTCGACCAAGGACTCTCATCTGCTACATTTGTGGCAGGGAATTTGGCTCCCTCTCCCTTCCTATTCATGAGCCCAAATGCCTGGAAAAGTGGAAAACAGAAAATGACCGGCTCCCCAGGGAGCTCCGCCGGCCATTCCCACAGAAGAAGCCTCAGCCCCTGGTACCTGACGAGGGGCCAAGTGAAGCTCAGCTTGAGCCCTGCCCAAACTGTAGCCGGACCTTTGCTCCCCAGAGCCTTCTGGTGCATCTGAGAAGTTGTAAGGCTCAGCCAAGTGGGCCACGCGTTCAGAATTTGACTTTAGAGAGTAAAGGTGGCCTGAAAGAGTCCACTAATTTCAAGCAGCAAAGGCACGTGGCCGCGCCCACTGTGACTGACAAGGTAATTCCTGCCACATGAGATGCCCTGGTTGGACCGGGCAGTGCGTACTGCCTCCAGGGGAATGAGAGAAAACAGACCCCGAATCAACTGCCTCAAGCCCTAGAGTGGTTTCTTTCCATGGCTATTTCTGACTCAATGCAGCCTGTCCAAGTTGACCCCTGTCCCACTCCAGGGGCTGTATCTCTGATGGCAACCTAGACATAAGAACATCCTTGCCTGGCAGATTCATAGTTCTCTTCCATTCTGTTGAGAGAGAGAGAGATTGAGAGAGAGAGAGAGAGAGAAACTTCTTTTTTTCCCTGGCCCCTCCTACCAATAATCCTTGGGAGAGACCGTTATTTGAAAATGAGTCATTAATGCTATGTCTACATTACAGAGCTATACTCCCCGTTCCAAAAGCCAATATTTATTACCAGTTTATTTTAGTCATCTACCTTAGGAATTCATTTTTGGCAACACTGGGTTATGCTGAGTTTATCTTACTAAAATAGAATCTGTGTCAAAAACCCCAAATGACTTTAGCAATAATTAAACACTGGCGCACTCGCAGGAATAGACGTGCTCTGTGAATACAGCATGTTTTCTGTTAACGCTTACATGATTGTAGTATGTGGGGAATTAACCCAGTGTAGACACCCAAGCAGGGAAGTGTGTGTTCCTGGTTCTGGGTCGTGCTGAATTCCCGCTGCTGCTCTGTACCTTTTATCTGGGTTGGACACCACGCTCTGACTCACCACTTGGGCAATTGTAAATAAGCATGACCCAGGGGTTCCCAGTCATAGGGTGTAGTGTTGTTGGGTTTTCACCTGAAGTTTCTTCGTCAGCCAGGATTGGGGAAGGATGCTCATGAGGGTGGCTACCTGCAAAACAGGGCACGGTCCATGGACTCTGTCCTACACTTAAGCCAGGGGGATGGATGTGCTGTCCTTGTCACAACTTACAGATGTCAAATCATGAAAAATAGGATGTGGTCAGTCCTTCTCCTTCTCCTCCTTCTCCTTCTCCTTCTCCTTCTCCTTCTCCTTCTCCTTCTCCTTCTCCTTCTCCTTCTCCTTCTCCTTCTCCTCCTTCTTCTCCTCCTCCTTCTCCTTCTCCTTCTCCTTCTCCTTCTCCTTCTCCTTCTCCTTCTCCTTCTCCTTCTCCTTCTCCTTCGATTTGCTACTTGAAACACCCACCTGCATGATTCTTTAAATGGACTGTTTTCAAAAAATAAAAAATAAATAAATGGACTGTTTTGGGGAAACTAAGGTTACTCAAGGTATTGCAAAGTATTAAACCAAACGGGGGTGGGGGATCTTTTATGTTTAATTCAGTGTTTCTTCCTTACTCTTTCATTGCATTATTTTGGCAAATATCTAGTACTTTTCTCTAACTACCATGTTTAAAATGACATTATATGGACTTGCTGGTTTAGAAGATTTCAAGATAATGATCCTAAAGCTGAAGAGTCACACTGACAGAAGCTGGGTAAGTGTTCCGATGAACATTGAAGAAAGGATAGCTGGTTTCTTCGCCGGATGAAAACCCAAACTCTTGAGTGTGGCAAGGACTGCAGGCTGGTCTCATAAACATGATCTGTTTTTCCCATCTTCTGGCTGTTGTTTTTCTTTCAAAACATGTGAGGTCTGGATTCAAAGAGCAAAAGGCTTGTGTCTCGGGGTCACAATCAGCAACTCTGTTCCTGTGTGACTTTCAGCCCTGTTTCCTGATTGTATGCATTTACTTCAAATGTTCTCATTACAGATCTGGAGATAGGGAAGAGTGTGGTCAGGATTCTTGGGCTTGTTGTTATAACACATACTTTGTGCTCCCAAGAGTGGAGCCAACAGGCTGAGCACAGCATGTTCTCACTCAGTCACGACTGCTAAAAGAGGCTGGCCTGGAACCACGGCTTCATAAGAGGACACCTCCTGACTCACGCAGTCATCTGGAGGGGAGAATGTCAGAAGGAGAGGCCAGCGAGGGCCCCGATGACTCGTGCGTTTAGCATAGGGGGGAGTTCATCAGAGCAAGGGCATCTAGAGGGCATGGCTGTGTGAGAGGACAGCCAACTCTGCTCCCAGACGTGAAAAGGCATGTGTCAGTGAGAAACTGGCGCCCACAGCTGTCAGATGTGTGCTGGCCTGTTTGGGGACCATGCAGGCTTCAGTGGAGGTCAGAGAAAGGTCATCTAACATAGGGGCCCTTTAGTTGCCAGATTTAAAGCAAGCTTGGTTTAATGACAATGGAGAAATCTCCTTAGGCTTCAGAGAGGCATAAGAATCTGGAAGCAATGGACTTTATTCCTTCGCTGAAAAAGATGTTTGCCGTGCAATGGTACTTTCAGCAGAAAGGCTCTACTGGGAACTGTAGTTCTCTCTTTTGTTTATGATTTTATCCTGTCTGTTGCTGTATTTCTTTTATCATTTAAAATTTAGATAGTGCAGTGCATCATACATTTTCCATAAAGGGCACTGCCCTATGCATTATTAGATTTCAGATTTTCATCTGCCCGTGATGGTCGACTTTTGGCTGACTATGATGCACATTCATTCTTTTTAAAAATATATTTTATTGATTTCAGAGAGAGAGAGAGACAGACAGACAGAAACATCAATGATGAGAGAGAGAATCATTGTTTGGCTGCCTTCTGCATGCCCCTCACCAGGATCAAACCCACAACCTGGGCCTGTGCCCTGACCTGGAATCAAACCGTGACCTCCCGTTTCATAGGTTGATGCTCAACCACACCGGCCGGGCCACATGCATTCTTTTTAGAGTTCAAATGTTTCTTTCATTTCTTCTCTTGTCAATTATAACAGTTTCCCTCTAGAATCCTTGATCTGACTTCTGATTAGAATCAATGATCTTGCCTGATGTTCTCAGGGGGCTCAGTCTTGCAGTGAATTCAAGTGAGGAAAATCTTTTCAGAACCATGATCACAGTGCTTGGAAAACAATTCACTCCAGTCGGGCAACATGACTGTTTCGCTGGCAGAGTGAATTACCTTCTGCTCAGAATGTTCTTCCAACATAGATTGGCTCAGTTCTCTTAGGACACAGATGCTTCTGTCACCTTTCAATCATTTCTAAACATAAACAAACGCCACTAAGGCAAGTTCTCTTCCAAGACCTCAATCGACACTTTGCAATCTGTTCTGTTTATTGGTTAGATAATGCTTGGGGTTATTTCCTTAGGATTATGCTGGTCACATGTGAAACCCCTTTTCTAAAAATCCTTTATTACATTATAAAGTAGGCATTATTTTTCTGTAGGGAAACTATCTTTTCTATAAATGATCATCTCTCTCAATGTAGTTTTATGCTCAGGTTTGAGCTAACAGTCCCTTCAGATACCTCTTTAGCATCTGGTGCTGCCATCTGGTGTTTTCTTTTAAAGCAATGTCTTCTACACTATCAAAAATATTATTCCTTTTCTCTTTGTGTTACCTCCAAATATATGTGAGAAGGTACCCTTATAATACAAACTCTAGTTATTTAGGGCTGCAGTTACATATTTGGTTTAATGTTATAAATTCTGTTTCATGGCTTAGTGTCTCATCCTCTAAAGGCAAAAATCTCAACAGGAAGGTCACCATCAGGAAGACTCAGAAGGGCAGGATGGATGGTTTTGTGTATGCATATGTGCTATTAGGTAAGAAGTATTTGTTTATTGGGAGGCATGGAAGAAAGGAAACTTTTCTGAGTACTTTCATGATCAGTACTTTATATACATGATCTCACTTTAATCTTCATACTATTACTAAAAGACAGATAATATTTTTCCCACTTTCTAGGTGAAGCAACTGAGGTTAAGCAACTTGACCAAAGTCACACAGTGGGTGTGGTAGTGGGTGTCAGAGCCAGATTCAAAGGCTCATTACCTTTGCATGTCACTAAGAGAGAGGATTATGTGTGATACAAAAAGGGCATGGTTATCTTGCCAGGCTATGAGTGTTAAGTAGGACAAAGAGGACAGAAGCTTGTTCAGTCAACAAATACTTAGTTTGACATTGGCTAAATACTTAATATAGAGTCATAAACAAGATAGACACAGTTCTTGATCTGATGGAGATGTGTGGAGGAAATATGAAATAAATATAAAATTTCAAATTGTGATATGACAGTGTTTCTTGGTGGGAGTGGATATTCTTGGGTCAAGAAACCTCTGGGAGGAAGTGATATTTCAGCTGAGATACAAAAGGTGTGAACGCATTAGCCGAGACATCCTGGCCAAAGGAAACATGTGTGAAGACCTTGGGGTAAGAAAGATCTTTAAATGGAACTAAGAAGTCCACAGGTGGCCAGAGCCTAATGCATCAGGAGATGGGCACACGAGGTAAAGCTGTAGAAACAGCATAGTTCTCTCCAGCTGCTCTGTGGACATAGTGGCATCAGTTTGGCTACTCCAGGAGTCCAGGTGAGGGCTGATGATGCTTGGCCTAGGGTATTGGTAGCAGAGATGGAGACAAGGTATAATGAGAATGTGATAGTTAGGACATGGTGATAGTTAGGACGTGGAAGGGTGAGGAAGGGGGTCAAGGATGACTCCCACATGTCTAATTTGAGCAACTGTACTAGTTGTGCCATTTTCTAAGGTGAGAAAGACTTGAGAAAGAGTAGCTCTTGAGGGTTAAGACAAATAGTTCTATTCTGGGCATATCATATTCAAAATGCTTATGAGATATCTAAGTGGGTAAGTCGAGCTGAATATATAAGTCTGTGACTCGAAAGAAAAGACTAGGCTAGGGTATAGATTTGTGTCGTATTAACATATATTTAAACTCATAGACCCAGGGCAGAGCTCAGTGGCATTACCTTATTTGGGGATCTGAAGGGAAGGAGCTGGAGGATGAGCGCCTGGAGACACTAGAGAAAAGTCTAGGGCGTGGTTCCACAGAGACTGAGGCCAGAGGAAAGGTCAAGAATAGGGGGTGGAAAACAGTGGAAGGCCGAGGTTGAACAGGATGAGAGCCAGAATATATCTCTGATTTGGCAATGCGGATTTCGTTCGATAACCTTGGAAAGAACACATTCAGTGTAGTGGTGGGGGTTTCCAAGTGCATGGTTGATAAAGACAGGATGTGGTTTTAGAAGTTTGGCTTTGGTGATTAGGAGAGCACTAATGGGTTGGCTAGAAATAGATAATGGGCTTAAGAGAAGTTTCTTTAAAAGATAGGAGCTTCCAGCCTATATTTGAATGTTGAGGAGTGTGATCCAGTGGAGGGAGGAAGGTTGAAGAAGCAGAATGATAAGGGTAAGTGTAAAACCTGAAGAAGAAATGGTCCCCAGGGGTGGGATCCCAGTTCAAAGTGGGCACTTTTTCATTTCAGGATGAGGTTGGCTGCAAATGGAGGTAAGTTTGGAGGTGCTAATGGAAAGATGAAGGAGCGATAATCTGTTAGCTTTTATCTTCTCAATGGAATACCAGGCAAGCTGATCAAGCCTATCGCATGAGAGAGAAAGAGGTATAACGAGAGAGAAAAAGTTCATTTTAAGAAGCTACTTAGTCCTTTGTCTCTTCATACTTTCAGTTACACTGAGTTCCTGAAATCAAGGCTGAGGTTCATAGAACCATTTGCCTCTATGATTCCCAAACACAAGAATGAGTTGGAACTCTTTGAAGATGTTAGAACATTCAGTGGGATTCTTCTAGGGGTTTCTACCCTTATCATTATCTTTAGTCACCCTAGTTCACCTCCCCAGCACTGCTGATGTCATAAAAGCCAGCCTCGACTTCACAAACTGCCCCCTGATGATGCTGGCAGCTGGACCACTAATATCCAACCCCATGTGCCACGTCATCTTTCCTTGGTGCCAAGCATGCCCGCACATCAGGGCAGCATTTTAGGATCCCACAGCTCTCGGGTGTACTAAGAACCACTTTAAGGTAATAAGACACGTTCTCTTCTGCACTGTTGTTTCTCAAAACCAACCCAAAGGAATCCGTGTACTATATATATAGGGTGAGGCAACAGTAGGTTTACAGTTGTGAGTATACAAAACATAGTTTAGTCTTACATTACTATTTATTAATTGTATTATTTTCCATATGAATAACTATGAACCTACTTTTGCCCCATCTTGTATATTGTGTGTGGAATATGTGTGTGTTGGGGTGGGGGGGGGGTGGTTACAAATTTTAGAGCAACAGCATTCTTTGAAAAATTGTTGTATAGCTTCTCTTTTAAAAAATATATATTTTTATTGATTTCAGAGGGGAATAGAGGGAGAGAGAGAGAGAGACATCAATGATGAGAGAGAATCATTGATTGGCTGCCTCCTGCATGCCCCCCACTGGGGATCAAGCTGGCAACCCAGGCACATGCTCTTGACTGGAATCGAACCTGGGACCCTTCAGTCCACAGGCCTATGCTCTATCCACTGAGCCAAACTGGCTAGGGCTATATAGCTTCTTAATATAAAAATTTGAAGGATAATACTTTTCCCTGCCACCTGCATCTCCCTGCTTCCAGCCCCACATACATAGATGCCCATATTGTCTCGTGATGGATGTCTAGCACACCTTTCTGTCATGACTGAGTGGATATATATCATTTTTAGAAATCTGAATTTCAAGGTCAACAACTAAAATCTCACCCAAAATTC